TTTCCTTTCCTTTCCTTTCCTTTCCTTTCCTTTCCTTTCCTTTCCTTCCCTTCCCTTCCCTTCCCATTCCATTCCATTTCTCTCCTCTCCTCTCCTCCCCCTCCCTCCCTCCCTCCCTTCTCTCCTCTCCTTCTTTCCCTCCATCTATCATTGTTTTTCTTTGGTTAGCATATCTAATTTCGTATTCCATTTTTGCATTCCAAAATGTTTATTCTTTCGTTGCTCTAACTGGATTTGGAAAACTTGTGGTCTTGCCAGCCTGGGGATCTTGTTCATTAATTATAATCCAATTTTCTGAGGTTTTCTACATAACCAGCTCTTGCCACCACCAGCGCCAGCTGTTTGTTGATGCTCTGATCCCGTTGGCTAGATGCCAGTGATTAAACTTCCTTTTTTTTTTTAACATTAAGTTGACCAATCTGATCTGTAGCTCTGTACCACCAGGGCTTAAGGAAACAAGCCGCATCAGTCTATTAACATCTATTGAGAAGGTTTATTCTATAAATATAAAATGAAAACTCGGGAGGTTCACCAGAACTTCTCTCTAAAGAATCAGTGAACATAGAGTAGAGCCCTTATAAGAGATGATGGTGAAAGCAAGGAAGCAGTGATTGTTAGAGAACCCATTTCACTCTCTCTTCAAGACACATGGCGCTATTTGAAGCTAGGGTTCCTGGGAACTTGCTGCTTCTGCTTCTATCGCTTATTAGGCAATACCATAGAGTGCTGAGAAACTAAGATATTTGGAGGGTGGGAAACAAGATATGAGACCTACTATGACAGATGGCAAAGGACATATTTAGTTCTGGTTTGTAAACATAAAGAGGTTTGTTTTTGAAAGGTTTGACTTGTGCGCAGAAGTTCCCATCCCTGTTGTATGCAAAGTCCTAAATTGGCCTTTGTGAATTTGGTGAAGAATTTTATTTCTAATAGCAGATTGGGTGGTTTTAAGAAGGGGGATTAATTTTTAAAATTTATTTTGGCATTAGGCACCAACATCACAAGAAGACATTCCAGAACTCGTTATAACTGCTGCTAATGAAGTAGGCATTGCCAAGAAGAGCGTTCCCTTTGAAAAAGGTGAAGGATCAACATTTATTCTTGAACAGTTGGATTGGATTCAAGATACCTATTCAACAAATGTAAAATAAACTTAACTTTCCTTCTATCCTTACCAGGAATTCACTAGCAACTATAATTCTGTGAGAACATCATGGTGTCTCTACAGAATTCTGAACAGCCTTGTGCTTAAAATATGGTCCCCAGGATTCCTTGGGAAAATCACCCTAATTAAATGGGAGTATTATACAATTTTATTGTATACAATTTATGTATTGCATTACAGTGCAGAGCAAGCAGTGCATTTGCATTGTGTCGGACTGCATTGCTCTGCACTATATTGCACTATATTGCGTTGGACTGACAGATTGGCTTTTCTGTATGAACTTAAGGTGGCTTATGTGAAGATATCATGGACCGAGTAAAAAATTTTTTCTCATGGATAAGGTATTACTAGGCAATGGTCAGATAAAAGGCAGTTGAGAAGCAATGAGGGCATGGCAAACATTTCAGAAGGGACTTTTCCTTGTTTTTTAGACTGTAAAGGTAAGTGGAAGAGATATGTTTCCAGAATTGTAAGGTTCTACTGTAACCTTACAATAAAAATAGTGGTAGTACTCATGGTTGGTCCTTCTTACATTGGCTTGTCCATTAATCATTGCCTTAAGTATACATGGTAATATTTTTTTAAACAAAACATATATTCCACTATACTTGCAGGTAAGCCAATTCTCAAATTTCTAACTAAAATATCAGGAAAAGTCTATCTCCCTCAAATAAAGCCTATTGTGAAAATTAAAGACCCACTTAAAAATAGAAGTCATTTTGCAGGGTATTTGCCATTTTTTCCTAGTTTTTGCATGGATGCTGCCGCCATTTGAGTTAACATGTTTTTCCCCGCTATCTCTCCATCTTTTTGGGCTATGTTTGAAGTATAGATTATGACAGTTAGATGAGCCACTGGTGAGGAATTATGTCACACCATGGAGAATATTAATCAAAATGTCCTGTCTTCTCATTTCATTGTCACTGAATTAGTCTACTGGTGACCTATTTTGCATGTGGGGAATATAACCCCAAACTATATATTTAATGAAATCACTAACTTCAGAAGAAAAAAAAAACAGGTACTGTAAATCTTTAAATTTACACAGCACAGATTTAAAGTTGAAAACTTTCTGAGCCAATTAAATAAACTGGTCTTTGTTTCATTTTGGGGAAAGGAATTAAAACTCAGAAAATTAGCAAATGCACAATCTTATTTCCCCATTAAGCCTAACTTAATTTTATGCCTGTCCCTTAAAGTGTATAAGACTCTGTATAATTTAACAAATGAAATTCTTTTCTGTGTTTTGGGTGCAAGGATAACAGAGTGCCAGTGGTACCTTTATTGTCACTAGTTTTGGAAGAAAATTTTGATGTTTCAATCATCATTCCATCAGTTGGTTCAAGCAGAAATTCTTCTTTTCTTCCAGACGGAGGTTTGGGATGGGGCAGCATTTTGGCAATTGTGTTGGCAATTCTGGTGCTCTTCTTGCTGATAGATGCCTTGTGTTATTACAAGCGCCGGTGTGGCTTTTTGATGTTCTGCAAAAAGAATATTCTGTGTAAAAAGTCTACAACAGGAGTTGAGAACAATGGGTAAGTTGGTATGTAGGAATCAACAATGAGTGTTGTAGAACATAAAACCCCAAAGAAAGGTGGTGAGATATGAATCCTTGTTCTATCCTTTTTACCTATCAGGAATCCTAGTCCCACCCCTTTTCTAAGGTGCCTTTTCTACAACTCACTTGTGGAACCCTCACTTGGGTTGGTTCCATTCTAGTAGTTTGGTTTATACATAGATTGGGGGGGGGGACGTTCCACCCTGGTTGAGTTTGACGGTTCCTTTGGGGTGGGCCAATCTCTTTTCTTAGCTCAGGTGATACAAGTCTTTTTTTATTTAACATCATATATGGCTTGCACAGTTCTGTTGATTGCCAGTTTTTAGGAATTGTTCAGCAAGCAAATGTGGAATATCTGTGGTCCATGTTCCATTTAATTATGGAAGAGTTCAGAGAATCAAATGCATTTTCTTCTTTTTAAAAAATACGTTGCTCAAAAACTCCTAGCATTTGTTTCCTTGTGGACTGTAGAGAAATAATTTTGTGTGTGTGTGTGTGTGTGTGTGTGTTAGATTCAGAAAATAAGAGTGAGGCAAGGGGTTAAGTGACCCTTCCTAAATAATGATCAAATCCTGAAGGACTAGTAAAAAAAAGGAAACAAAATTTTGATTATGGATCACTTGCCAGTTATGTTAGTTGGATCTTTGAGGTTTCAACCAAGGTTTTAACTCTGAGGTTTCAATCTCTTTGTTGATCTCATTTTAAGGGCAAACTCATTAACTAGTTTAAAAATGAAAAGGTTGAAAAAAAAAGACAAATCAAACTCTGAACTGCAATCGGATAATCTACATAGATAGAAACTGAAGGAGGAAGGTCAAGTAAATCTTTATTTTTTTGTTTCTTTCCATAGGAAAATTCTCTCAAAATCAGGAAAAAGCCCCGTAGTGAATATATCTGGTTCAGAAGCCTGATTGGACCATAGCAAGGAGATCAGATAATGAAATGTTGACTTTCTGCAACAATATTTGGATAAATTGGGCATAGAAAAAGAAGTTTCTCCTCTCTATTATTCCTCCCACTATTCTTCTATCTTTATTGTCACCTTTAATGGAGATGTTGCTCTAAAATTAGTGACAGGTAACATCTAGGATGGGCTGAAATCCTGTGCCCGCAATTTGGAGTTATCCTTTCTTCTATAGATAGGAGAACGTTCCTTATTACATTGATACAACATAATATCAATACATTGCATCCAGAACATTTTTGTTTTTCAGCTATGATTTTTTTAAAATTACCTTTAACATATAGGGGGTTTATGATACTTTGTTACCCCACTATGTATTTATTGGTGTATCCAAGGTTGTGGTCACATTGTTTGTACATATGGCGTAATTTTTTTTATTGATGTAGCCTTTTCCAAATCAAAGTTTTTGAATGGCATTGAAATAATCCATATCACCATAACAGAGCAAATAAAATAGTTGTTATTTCCAATTAAACATCAATATGGGTTGAGTTGGTGCCTAGTGAAATACCTGGAAATGTACCTACATCCACTTCAATGGTGGGATTCAAATTTTTTTTACTACCGGTTCTGTGGTTGTGGCTTGGTGGGCATGGCAGGGGAAGGGTACTGTAAAATCTCCAGTCAGAAGTGTTATTTGTCAGTTCTCCAAACTACTCAAAATTTCCACTACCGGTTCTCCAGAATTGGTCAGAACCTGCTGAATACCGCCTCTGATCCACTTGATATACAGCAAGTTAGGGTTTGATACCAAAAGACCTCTCAAAATAAGCTAAAGTTGAAATATTTTGCCAAGATAACATCAGAGCAACAAAACAGTAGCTCAGATTTGGGCATTTGGTAATAGAAAATACTAAATAACCTGTGACCCACTGGGGCATAATTTCAAAGATATTTCTTACCTAAATGAAGAAACAGAATAACCACGGGTAGGCAAATCAGCAGTGGGAGTAGAAGCACCTTCCTATTTCCTGCAGGCTTCTCCATTGACTTTCCTTGCGGGAAGCTCCAAGAAAGCATTGAAAATGACAATCAGGTGACCACGGCTGAGTGTGGCAAAACTGAAGTGGCTGCAACTTAGCCAAATTAAATCCTACAATCCTACATAGATCCTGGATTTTGGATTCATTCTTTAAGTTAGCTCATTTGAGGTATATTAATTCAAAAGTTGTTGCCTTATGATGCATTGTTTTACCCGATCAAAGGTTACAAACAGACACAATAGTTTTACTAGTATATAGATTCAACCCAAAAGCATTCCCTATAAGTTTATCCCAACCAACTATTCTCAAATGGTCTGAGCTTCTACAGATTGCATGAGAAAACACAAGGTTTTTGGGTGAGGACTCTTTGTATGCTGATTTCTGTGTGAGGAAGAATATAAGTAATATTAGTTGCTTCTTTACCTGGAAGATAATAAGCCTCCATTACCCTTGTGATTTTCATAATGAGGAGAACAATGTTCATCATTTTACTTTATGTTAGACTGTGGCCCATAATGACCCAATTACAATTCCTGTAACTTATTTGTCCATTTATTGATATTTTGCATCAATTAACAAAATTGCTGTATTTTGCACTAGCCAACGGTGACACTATGTTTCTAGACTAGAGAGTCTTGGATAAGTGTTCTCAATAAACCCTCTTCACTCATTGGCTGCCTTCTGACAAACTCTTAATCTGATCGGTCATGAAATCCAGGCAAATTCCCTTGCAAGTGGTTCTAGCACCCTCACAGTCAGATTACACGGATCAATAATCATTGTTTTGAAAATGGCCCCTTTCCCCAGAAAGCAGTGGACATTCCATAAGCCCACGTACCAAGCATAACCCTGGCCAAGGTTCATTACTTTACTTCAGTGGTGGGATTCAAATTTGTTTACTTCCGGTTCTGTAGGCGTGGCTTGGTGGGTGTGGCTTAATGGGACATGGTAGGGGAAGGATACTGCAAAATCTCCATTCCCTCCCCACTCTTGGGGGAAGGATGCTGCAAAATCCCATTTTCTCCTCACCCAACTAATCTGCTTTCCAGCTCCGTTCTCCTGTACAGGGCAAAAAAAGAAGACCCAGCCGATTAGCTGGAATTCGGGAGGCAGAGAATAGATGGGGGCGGGACCAGTCGGAGGTGGTATTTGCCGATTCTCCGAACTACTCAAAATTTCTGCTTATTGGTTCTCCAGAGCTGGTCAGAACCTGTTGAACACATCACCTCTGCTTCACTTGCACCATTGGCCAGTCAGTCAGAAGTGGGAGTGGGATTGCTTTGTTAACTTGAGTCATGTTGAGGCTGTTTATCCAAGCAGCTTCATCAGTCAGAACAGGTCAGTTATGCAGGGAGTTGTTAGCATGTCCCAACTCTTGCCCCATCAACCTCAGGGGTTTCCTCCCCAAAATGCATTGCAATATGTGGATAAGTTTGCAAAATTTCGAGCCCATTGAAGTCTTTTGCTTTGAATTCTGTAAGTTTCCATTTGATGCACTGTGATGCACCATTTCACCCAATTGAAGATTAGAGACAAAGTTTTAGTAATAAACACACTCCTATGCATGTGCACAATTCGAACTCAAAAGGAGAGAAGAAGATATAAAGAACAAAAAATGCATGGAAAAAAAGAAGAAAAAATAAAGAACAGAAGACAGAAAAAGAAAATAATAATAAAGAAGTGATTTTCAAGCTTCATCCTGAGTATAAGACAAATGTAGTAAGTCTCCACCCCACCCACCACAAGATTACAACTTTTATTGGTGGGGAAGAAGGCGGAGCCTCCTCGCTGACAGACCGTAGATCGCATCTCTCTGCGGCTATGGTCCATGCTCTTTCGTTGGAGAGCCCCGATCATTACAATTAGGGGCTGAAGCTGCCTTGGAGGGACAGTGGAGTAAGGAAGTCTTGTGCAACCAATAAATTCTGTAATGGGGAGAATCTACATTAAAAATCGAGATGAAGCTGTTACAAGACTAGTATATTATACAGGTAGCCAGTGGTGGGATTCAATTTTTTTTTACTACCGGTTCTGTGGGCATGGCAGGGGAAGGTTACTGCAAAATCCCATTCCCTCCCCAGTCCACTAACCTGCTTTCCAGCTCCGTTCTGCTGTGCAGGGCAACCAAAGAAGACCCAGCCGATCAGCTGGGACTCAATGGGAGGCAGAGAATAGATGGGGCAGGGCCAGTCAGAGGTGATATTTGCCGGTTCTCCTAACTACTCAAAATTTCCGCTACCGGTTCTCCAGAACGGGTCTGAACCTGCTGAATACCACCTTTGCAGGTAGTCCTCGACTTACAACAGTTCGCTCAGTGACCATTAGAAGTGGCCACGGCACTGTAAAAAATGACTCAGAGTGATTTTTCACACTATTGTGAAATCTTGGAGCTTCCCCCCCCCATAATCATGTCGTCAAAACTCAGATGCCTGGCAACCGACTCCTATTTATGATGGTTGCAGTGTCCTGAAGTCACGCGATCCCCTTTTGCGACCTTCTGACGAGCACAGTCAACGGGGGAAGCCGGATTCACTTAACAAGCGTGTTAGTCATTTAGCAACTGCAGTGGTTCACTTAAGAACAGTGGCAAGAAAAGTCGGAAAAAGGGGGACAAGACTCACTTAACAAATTTCTCATTTAGCAACACAAATGTTGGACTCAATTGTGGTCGGAAGTTGAGGACCCCCTTGTATTAGAAGCATGCTGTGTAGGTGGGAAGGCCTTTCAGATCCAGGATGTGTCAGCCACGTAGAAAGTTTTTCTTTGAGTCCCTTAAGAAAACCTTATGGCAATGGAGACTACCAAGCTGTTAAGTGGTAAGGAAGCAAGAGGAAACAGAAGGAAATTGCTTATGATGGTGAACAAAATCTATTAACACTACCTGTTTTACACACCCTTTATTTTTAAGATTTCCTGCCAGAGCAGGGGGTTGGACTAGATGACCTCCAAAGCCCCTTCCAGCTTCTATTCTGTTCCGTTCCATTCCATTCCATTCCATTCCATTCCATTCCATTCCATTCCATTCTATTCTATTCTATTCTATTCTATTCTATTCTATTCTATTCTATTCTATTCTGCATTAGATTCTCTTTTCTCTCTTCTCTCTTCTCTCTTTTCTCTATTCTATTCTATTCTATTCTATTCTATTCTATTCTATTCTATTCTATTCTATTCTGTTCTGTTCTGTTCTATTCTATTCTATTCTATTCTGCATTAGATTCTCTTTTCTCTTTTTTCTCTTTTCTATTCTCTTTTTTATTTTCTATTCTATTCTGCATTTTATTCTATTTACTATTTACTATTTACTATTTTCTATTCTATTCTATTCTATTCTATTCTATTCTATTCTATTCTATT